AAATATGATATGTATGCAATGTGTGTTTACACATGACCATTTTAAAAGACCCACAATTTACTCACAAAATTTTAAAACAATTCTCTTATGAAATATTCTTAATTATTTATTTAGATTTCAATTATCCAAAATAATTGACTTAATAATTAATCTAAATTTTAGGAATCATAATAATTGTTATTTATTAGGATAATTCAAAATCAAAATAATTGTCATAACGATCATTAATCATTAAATACATTAGGTACGCATTTCAAAAATTAGAATTAATGTCATAATAACCAATAATCTAGCTTATGAAATGTAACAATTGTTATGCATATATTTCGAAATATAAATTAATTTTCATAATGAATATTAATCAAGTCATTCAAATATAAGAGTTGTCATGCTCAGGTAATTAATAAGCTATGCAATAATATGACACCATTCTACGTGCCATGTTATTATATCAAACATGTTATCAAACCATATAATTCATCCATTCATTAAAAAACAAAGCAATTATAAAATAAACTTTAATTCATGGTTTCCTAGAGAAAAATAAAATAAAATTACAAGCCAAAAAGAATATACCAATTGTGGGGAAAATTGGATCAGCGGAAGCGATTTAGGACCTAGATTTAGGAAATAGTACATTTTTATGCTTAGGAATCATCATTGTCTCGCAATCACAAAGGTCATATGTAACATCCCGGGCACTGATGAGGGCGGAGAGCAATTGCCGGTGCGAAAGGGCATGGACAAGGAGCGGCTCCTGACAGGCTTCCAGTGACGGGGGTACATGAATGAATCGAATCAACACTCGAAAGAGAGTAATTCCAGAGACTGTGCTGGTATGGGACGGTACAGTTGGGAATTACTTATAAGAATAAATTGTACTACCTATACTAACAAGACGCATATACTTTTCGGTAGCCCGGAACGGAAGAACTCCATAGTTAAGCGTGCTTGACTTGGGGCAATTTCTGGGATGGGTGACCTCCTGGAAGTTTTCCCGGGAAGTGTGCGAGTGAGGACAAAGCACGCTGAAAAGTCTCGTGTTAGTGTGTAGGGATCGTTGTTGATCCTTGCAAGTTGTCCGGCGTTACAAGTGGTATTAGAGCAGGGCCTCTCTTCCAGTACGGCGTGGTTCGAGGACGAACCAAGCGGAAGCTGGTGGGCATGTAACATCTCGGGTGCTGACGAGGTCGGGGAGTGATCGCCGGTGCGAAAGGGCATGGACAAAGAGCAGCTCCTCTCAGGATTCTAGCGACGGGAGTACATGAATGAATCGAATCAACACCCGAAAGAGAGGGATTCCAGAGACTGTGGTATGGGACAATACAGTTGGGAATAGCTTATAAGAATTAATTGGTACCTCCAAAGCACCGACACGTTCCGACACGTTTTTTCGACACGCAGTCAACTTTTTTCGACACGCGGTCCACGCTCGGACACGTTTTTTTTAAATCTTAATTTTATTTTGTTAACTAAATATAAAAGAAATAATTTATAAATTAATTTTTTTCTGTTATGAAATTTGACATGGAAAATTAACAAAGTAAGAAAAATTATTTATATTTATGTTATGAAAGTTAAATATTTGATTGGTTATATGACTTATTATGGACTCTTATATGTATTAAATATAAATTATATTATATATATTAAAAAATTTATTTAATATCAAAATGTGTCCCAACGTGTCAAAATATGACATTTTTTAGAATTAACGTGTCAGCGGGTCCTGTGTCCCGTGTCCGTGTCCGTGCATCATAGATTGGTACTACCTATACTAATGAGATGCATCTACTTTTCGGTAGCCCGGAACGGAAGAAATCCATAGTTAAGCGTGCTTGACTTGGGGCAATTCTGAGATGGGTGACCTCCTGGGAAGTTTTCCCAGGAAGTGTGCGAGTAAGGATAAAGCACGCTGAAAAGTCTTGTGTTAGTGTGTAGGGACAGTCGTTACATCATATCTCTCGCAACGCATATCCGCGAGAAACCTCCCTTGTGTAAGTGAGTACTCTTTCTCGCCTCTGCTGTTATGGAATCTCCTCTGCACAAACTTGCCTCCTTAGTGTCACAACACGAACAAACTTCCTCAGCGTTACATTATGATCTGACCTCTTTGTTCAAGATTGTTTCTGGTAAATCTTTCAGAATATCCTCAAAGGGGAAATGGAAAATGTGTAGGCATTTTATGTTTCAGATATGATCTTACCTCAGTAAGCAGCTTGGAGGCTGATGACTAAAATGAGGATATATATATATATATATATATGAGTTTAGTGTGTGTCATTTTAAAAGATACATGATTGTGTCCTTTTAGTAGTTATAACTATGTACTACAGGTTGGCAAAAATGAGCCAACTCTTCGGGTTGGCTCGTAACCCGTCAAAATTGAGTCGGGTTGGGTTTGCAAACATTAGCTGCCAACCCGACCTGAGTCAACTAAAAAAAAAATGATTCAAGCTGCGGGTTAAACTGGCCAGCTCGCGGGTTGAGATTTTTTTAATAAAATAATACAAAATATAATATACAAAAATGGACAAAACTCGCACATGTTGTCATCGTCTTTCTTCCTTCTCTAAACCTAACTCCCTAATTTTCTCACATCATTGCCATTTTTATATTGTTAGGCAGTGCTGGCTCTGTTGGTTCAAATATCTTACCCACTTGGTAGCAAGTGGTTCTATTGTTTCTCAATGTTGGTGCAAATTTGTTGTGAAGAAAATTCGAAACTAAAACATTTTGATTTTACTTCTCATTTTGTAACTTTCTATTTTGCTTTTTTTATAAACTATTATGTAAGACAATTGTATTGTCTAAGCTCATAGAAGTTGCAGAGCTGGTGCATTAATTCTACAGGTTCATTTAAATAGGCTGAAAACGAGCCAACTTGCAAGCCATTTTTGAGCCAACCCGCGAGCCAACCTTAACCGACTCGGGTTGGGTTTTCTGGTTCATTTTTTTTTCGAGCCAACTAGAACCCGACTCTTTTTTTCGGGTTGCATGCGGGTTGGGCCAAGTTGGTCCGTTTTGCCAACCCTAGGTAGTACATAGTTATAATATTAAAATTGTACTTTTTTCACGTTCCACGTCAGCATACAGCTTTTGAAGAGAGAAAAAAAAGTATAAATTTAATATTATAACTATGTACTACCCATAGTACATAGTTATAACCTAGATGCACAGACACACCTTTTCAAAAAAAATTGTGTGTCGGACACCGACACGTGCCGTCACGCGGTCAATATTTTGAGACACGCGATTAACGCTCCGACACATATTTTCGACACGTGATCAACGCTCCGACACACATCCGATACTTTTTTTTAAGGTCTAAATTTTAGTTTCCGATACTTTTTTTTAAGGTCTAAATTTTAGTTTATTAACTAAAAATAAAAATTAATTTATAAGTCAATTTTTTCTGTTATGGAATTTGACATAAAAAATTAACAAGGTATGAAAAATTACTTTTGCTTTATATTTATGTTATGAAAATTGAATATTTGATTGGTTATATAACTTATTATGGATCGTTTTTTGTATTAAATATAACTTATATTATGTATATTAAAAATATTATTTAATATCAAAACAAATCTTAACGTGTCAAAGTATGATATTTTTTAGAATTAACGTGTCCTTAAAAGTAAAATATTATTTTGTTTTTCAGTGCATATGTACTACCAAAGATATTTCCTCTACCGGATAATTAAGATGATTCTAGTTATTTCTACGGTGGTTCCCACTATAAATTTTTTTTGTATGTCCCTGAAAGTTTTGTTAAGTATAATTTCATAACAAACAATTCTTTTTTCTTAAAGCCACGTGCATTAATTTAGGGTGTATTTGATTGTGTTCTAATTTTTTATTTTTAAATTTTTTTTGTAGAATAATTAATGAAATTTGTATTTTCTGAAATAATTTTTTTTTTGAAAGCTAAAAGTAAAAATAAATAAATCATATTTACATTCTCTAAATTTGATTCTAAAAGCAGAAAAATATAATTTTTAATTTTTTTTTTTACAAAATAGGCATTATAAAATATTTTTATTTATTTTTCTATTCTAAAAACCAAAAAACCATTTTTGAGAATAGAGATCAAATAGGCTTTTATATCTTGATCTGATCATATCAAGTTACACATAAGATGATTTATTTCCACTTTGTTTCTTACAATTGGATAGCAAATTTTTTTACCACTCACTTCATTTTAAATAATTATTATTTACAAAAAATATCGATTTTTTATTTTAAAAGATCAATAAATTGTTTTTTAAGTTTTATTATTTTGTCTAATGCTTTTATTACATAAAATAAAATATTAATAGATTGACTATTACCTTGTTCAAGTTAATATAAATTTTCTTTTCTTTTCCTCCCTCGTTAAAATTTCTTAGCTCTGTCATTTCCAATGGTTATGATTGAAAATATCTCATAATTAAAAAACAAAGTAAAAAAAAAAAAACCAATCTGTTAATTATTAGATTTAAATATGGGATATATTTTTCTTTTGTCGTAGGAAAAAAACTACCTCATGTTGTATAAATAAAAGTATAAGTGGAACCCACAGATAAAAGAAGAGAGAAAAAAAAGTGGTGGGACCCAACCCTTTTTGTGTAGGAGAGTTGTTTATCTCATGTAAAATGAGATAAATATAACCCTTCAAATATATATCGACAATAATAGTAATTTTGAAACTGCATGAATCATCTCTTTGTGAAAAAAAGATGAAAAGAAAAAGAATACGAAGAGAGGGACCTTAATGAGTGTGTGTGACTCACCCAAGACCCAAGAAAAAGAAGCATGTAAAGGAAGGTAACGAGAAGACTTCAGTTTTTTTCATTACACACAGGTCAATGCATGTACAGTGCATAGTACGATGCTTTTTTCTCCTTCCCTGCTTGTTAAGAAATACATTTGCTTTACACTGTATGCTTTACATTTTTTAGGGTCTATTTCACAATGGAATTTTGATCAATCCATCAGTACCTACCGAATCCATGTTGAGATCCTTGGCTAGGAAGGAAACAAGATGAGTAGGAGTTCAAGCAAGAAGAAGTCCACACATGGTGACCATGGCTTCAATGACAATATATTTTCCTGGTCCCTAGAAGACATTTTCAATAAAGATCTTTACAAGGAGAAGGTTTGGAGCTTAACTTCTTTTTTTGTCTTTTCTTTGGTGAAATCATGTATAAATTTCAACATTTAATCAAATAATCACCGTTAATTTGCTTTCTTAAGCTTATTGTCTTTGTGTCCAATGCCTTAAATTGCACCAGTGAGTTATTATTCGAGTCCTATTGGGTTGACCTTCACCTGATTGTTAATGTTTTTGAACCAATTGACCTGCAGGTTTGGTGTTGGTGTTAGCTTGTTAGCATTTACTTTAAGGACTAGATGTTAGACTTGTTATTTACTTAAAGATTTTGCATTCCACTCAGAAAAGCATGTTGCTTGAGTCTCATCTTAATATGATTTTGTACTGTTTAAATTTTTCAGGTGAAACATATTGATCAATCATTCAATTCTGTTGACCATTATTTTGGGTCCTTTAAGTACCCGTTGTTGGAAGAAACTCGAGCACAATTGTGCTCCAGTCTGGAAATCTTATCCAGTGCACCTTTTGCAGAAGTAGTTTCTCTTCACGAGGCCAAATCATATAATAAGATACTCTATAATGTTAGAACTGGCACCTGGAAAAATAGGTTCTCTGGTCATGGAAAAGAGCTATACAAAACAATGAGTGGAGATGTTTTTGTTTTGGCGGATTTTAAACCTGAAACTGTCAATGATTTGCAAAGGGAAGGAAGGATGTGGACTATTGTATTGTCATCTTGGATTGCAGTGAAGGATACTGAAGTTATGTCTTCCTTTAAAGTCGTTGCTTCTAAAAACATTGACCTTAATGAAGTAGCGAAAAAATCTTTGTTTATTGTATTTTTGACAAATTTAACCCCCAACAGAAGAATATGGAATGCTCTGCACATGTCTGGAAATTCGAAGTTAATCCAGAAAATTTTATGTGCTGATGACGTGGTGAGAAAGTCAATTTTATATTATACCTTTAAGTCAGAATTCCAAAGTTTATATATAAAAAAAATCACTCCCCGTTAAACCCAACTAGCGAGTGTGGGGTGGAGGAAATTTTTGTACGCAGCCTTACCCTTGCATAATTGTAAAGAGACTGTTTCCTGGATTTGAACCCATGACCTTTCAGTCATGAAGGAATAGTTTTTACCACTGCTCCAGTTCGCCCCCTTTAATTCCAAAGTTTATATACTGTAATAAAATGATAAGCTGTTGCAATCAAACATTGGTATTGTGTTAATCTATAGCAAAGCATCACACTGTAATAGTATTCAGGTTATTTTAATATTCAGTGCTGATAGTCTATTGTAATTATTTGTATTTATTGTTATAGAAAGTATGTAGTGGGATATTCATGTATCAGAAGATTCACAACAACTAGCTTAATTGTTTATAAAATTGCAAATGACATTTTCTTGTTAATTTTCATGGGGACTATGTGTCATTTCTAAGTAGAACATATTTTAAATTTTAAATTTAAATATTGTTACAACTAATGGATGTACGCTGGGGACAGGTTGAGGAAAGTTGTGATTACTGCTCTCTGCAGACTTATGCTCTAAGGGATGATAAAACATGTGAAAGGTTATCATCTGAATTGAATGAGTCCCAATATAAGGCAATTTGTGCTTGCCTTTCTTCCTTACACTGTAATCATAGGTCTACTGTGGATCTCATTTGGGGTCCACCTGGAACTGGAAAAACGAAAACTTTGGGTACACTGCTTTTTGCTCTGTTGAAGATGAACTATAGGACTCTTGTCTGTGCCCCAACAAATGTTGCCATTAAAGAAGTGGCATCGCGTGTCTTGAGCATGGTGAGAGAATCATTTGATAGAAAATTTGATGCCTTGTCCTGTGCATTAGGAGATGTCCTATTATTTGGGAATCATGAGCGGCTCAAAGTTGGTGCAGACATTGAAGACATATATTTGGATTATCGTGTCGAGCAGCTGACAAGGTGCTTTGCACCACTTACTGGTTGGAGATGTTGTTTTGGTTCAATGATTGATCTTCTTGAAAATTGTGTTTCCTATTATCATATATACATTGAAAATGAGTTGAGAAAGGAGCAAGACAACATTGATGATAATAATATTTCTAATACAAAAGATCATGACCCTTCAGATTGTAGTGAGAGTATGTGCAAATCTTTTCTGGAGTTTCTGAGAGAAAGTTTTCTTTCTATAGCATTGCCACTCAGAAACTGTATTTCTGACATGTGTACTCATATAGCCAGAAGTTACATTTTGGAACATAACTTTGAACGTTTGGTCTGCCTTATTCACTCTCTTGATTCGTTCAAAGCTTTGTTGTTTCAAAGTAACGTCATTTGTGAAGTATTGGAAGAGCTCTTTTCATCTCCAGAAAAGCAAGATAGTTCTTTTGAGTCATTTGGGGGTGGCGAATACTTATTGTACAAGAACAGATCTGAATGCCTGTCTTCTTTAAGAACCCTTGAAGGTTCACTAGGTGAACTTAACCAGCCAAAAGTTTTGAACCAAGAATCAATTAGAGAGTTCTGTTTACAAACATCCTCATTAATATTTTCCACTGTTTCTAGTTCCTTTAAGCTTCATTCTGTTGACAGGAAGCCACTAAATGTTTTATTGATTGATGAAGCTGCACAGTTGAAGGAATGTGAATCAATCATACCTTTACTACTGCCAGACATAAACCATGCCATTCTTGTTGGAGATGAATGCCAGCTACCAGCAATGGTTGAAAGTAATGTATGTAATGCTACTTTGTTTTCATGCACATTCTAAATATGTTTTGTTTATTGAATTTAATATCCTTGTTTCCTACATCACCACCTTCTGAAGCCTAGAAAGTTTTCCACTACAAATTAATATTTATTCTTGTCCTCATTCTGTTAAAGGTTTCTTCTGAAGTTGGTTTCGGAAGAAGCTTATTTGGGAGGCTGAGCTCATTGGGTCATCCAAATCACTTTCTAAATATACAGTACAGGATGCATCCAGCAATAAGCTCCTTTCCAAATTCACAGTTCTATTTAAACCAAATTCTAGATGCTCCAAATGTTGTGAGAAAGAACTGTAGAAAGCAATATCTCCCAGGGCCAATGTTTGGTCCCTATTCCTTTATAAATGTAGTTGGTGGCCGTGAAGACTTCGATGATGCTAGGGGAAGCCGGAAAAATATGGTTGAAGTTGCAGTTGTGAAGAGAATGATTCGAAATTGTTTTGAAGGTATATATTTATATGAGTGTGTGTGTGCGCGCATATATATATATATGTGTGTATATATATATTAAATTCTCAGTGGTAATCTCTCTTGCTATTGTTTTTTCTTTTTCTTTCCTTTCATAGGAGTATACTAGCCAGAACAGAAAATATTCATTTATTGTAAACCTACATGTTGTAATTGGCTTAATGTTTGTCACTAGGTAACATTTCAAGTATTAGTAGTATTAACAATCTTGCATCATGTTATTGCATTTTCTTTGTAAGTGCAGAGTAGATTAATCCGAAGAGAAAATATTCATTGATTTTAAAACTAGATGGTTGTAATTAGCGTAATGTTTAACATTCCTTCAAGTATTAGTAGTATTATTGTATTAACTATCAAGTTTTTATAACCTGATTAAGTTTATGGGGGGAAAAAAATTGATGTTAAATTGTTTCTACTTTCTACTACTACAAATGTCCTGAAGAAAGAGACAGAAAGGTGAATGATAAAAATGTGAAATATACTAGTCACTAGATATTATGAATTTATTATTATTTTTCAATACCTATTACCTAGTTAATTTGTACAGATTTTCTGATAGTAATATACTGCCTGGTATGTAGCATGGCGTGTCTCGAAGGAGAACCTCAGTATAGGTATAGTGTCTCCATATGCTGCCCAAGTGCTTGCGATTCAGAATATGCTTGGACAAAACTATGATAGGAATGATGGATTTGATGTGAAGGTGAAAACAATTGATGGTTTCCAGGGTGGAGAGCAGGACATTATTATATTATCAACTGTAAGAACTAATGCTAGTACTTCACTTGAGTTCATCTCCAGTCACCAGAGGACTAATGTTGCTCTTACAAGGGCTAGGTAGAGTTTACTATGTACTATTCTTTTAAGTTTGCATTTGTTTTTCTTCCAAAACAAATTTTGCATCCGTCTTAATTGTATAAAGTTGGTGCTTTGATATTCGACAGGCACTGTTTGTGGATTTTGGGAAATGAAAGGACCCTCACAAATCAGGAAAATGTTTGGAAAGCTTTGGTGCTTGATGCTAGAAAACGTCAATGTTTCTTTAATGCAGATGAAGACAAGGATCTGGCTAAAAGTATCTGGAGTGCCAAGAAAGAGCTAGATCAATTGGATGATTTTCTTAATGCAGATAGTGTCCTTTTCAGAAATTCCAGGTGGAAGGTATTTTGATTCTTGATCTTGTAATTATACTCAATGTTCCTGTTGTTGATATTCTCATCATATCTTCGATCTTTAGTTCACATTCCCACTTTCATGTTTCTGCAGGTTCTTTTCAGTGATAGCTTCCTAAAATCATTTAAAAAACTGCGTACAGAGCGGACAAAGAAGTCAGTTGTTAACTTCTTACGCAAACTTGCCAGTGGGTGGAGACCTAAAAAGAGGATGACTGTGGACTTACTTTGTGGAAATTCATCACAAATATTGAAGCAATTCAAAGTTGAAGGTCTTCACATTGTTTGTTCAAGTGACATAGTGAAAGAATCACGGTATACTCAAGTTTTGAAGATATGGGATGTACTGCCTCTAGAGGAAATACCTAAACTAGTTAAATGTCTTGATGGTATATTTGGAAGCTACACCGATGATTATATAAGTCGCTGTAGTGAGAAATGTTATGAGGGGTAAGTACTTTAAGATGAGTTCTATTAGATCTAAGCTGTTAAAGCTAACTGATATAATGTGTTTTGCTTCTTTTCCAGGAAAATTGAGGTCCCAATAAGTTGGAAAAGGTCAGCAGAGATCATCAAATTTAAGAATCTTGATAATAATGGAATTGAAGCCGAATTAAGTGGTTGTGATCAAAGAATTGAGGTTGAGAATTCAAAGGTTGATGAAAGTTTGTTATTGATGAAATTCTACTCCTTATCATCTGGTGTAATTAGCCACTTGCTTTCTGATCGTGAAGGTAATGAATTGGATCTTCCATTTGAAGTATCAGATGAAGAACATGAAATAATTTTGTTTTCTAAAAGTACATTTTTATTGGGTCGCTCTGGTACTGGTAAAACTACTGTTTTGACCATGAAGTTATGGCAAAAGGAGAAGTTGCACCATATGGATGTTGAAGCCTCATATGGTATTAAGAGTGCTCCAGTTCCGTGTTTGAATCATGAAAAAGAGTATGAAGAGAGTTCTTCTGTGAATGACCGGCCTGTCTTACGCCAGTTATTTGTAACAGCGAGTCCCAAACTATGTCAAGAGGTAAAACATCGAGTTGTTCGATTGAAAAGGTGTGGAACTTCTACTGTGGACTCTGCTTTTTTTCTCCTTCTTGTTGAATTTAGCATAATTTCTTGGAGTCTATCTTACCATTATCTATCTATTTGTCTATCTTTTTCACTTTTTAAATACTTGGATAAATTGAAACTGAATGTTTAACATTGGTATAACTTGAAAAGGGGTATTCTAATATATTATAGAATTGTAAATAATCTGTACAAGGGGTTCTCTATTTATAGAGAATATTTGACCTAATTTTAACCTAATGGGCTTGGCCCAATACAACAAATAAATGACTAAATAATAACTAAATAATAACTAAATAATTATTATTTACAACACTCCCCCTCAAGTTGAGGAATAGATATTTATCATTCCCAGCTTGCTAGTAAGTTCTTGAAATCTGTCTGAAGGAAGCCCCTTTGTTAATAGATCAGCTAATTGACGCCCAGTGGGAATGTATGGAGTGGTAATCAACCCGCTATCAAGTTTCTCTTTGATGAAATGGCGGTCAACCTCAATATGTTTAGTCCGATCATGTTGGACTGGATTATGAGCTATACAAATAGCGGACTTATTATCACATAGCAGTTTCATAGGTCCCTCACATTTTATTTTGAGATCATCAAGTACAATTTTCAGCCACAGTAACTCACAAATGCCTTGAGCCATAGCTCGAAATTCAGCTTCTGCACTTGATTTGGCAACCACATCTTGTTTCTTACTTCTCCATGTCACCAAGTTACCGCAAAGAAACATGCAATAACCAGTGGTAGAACGACGGTCAGTCACGGATCCAGCATAATCAGCATCTGTGTAGACTTCTAAAGATAGATTGCCATCACGTCGGAATAACAATCCTTTACCAGGAGTACCTTTAAGATACTGAAGAATTCTCTCTACTGCCTGCATGTGTTTTTCTTTTGGATCGTGCATAAACTGACTGACAACACTAACAGCATAAGCTAGGTCTGGTCTAGTATGGGCCAGATATATCAATTTCCCAACTAGCCGTTGATATTGTCCTTTATCAACTGGAGGACTCTTTTCTTCATAGCCCATCTTGTGATTCTGCTCAATAGGAGTATTAGAGGGTTTACACCTGAGCTTTCCTGCTTCTTTGAGAAGATCAAGAACATATTTCCTCTGGCTGATAAAAATTCCTTTGCTTGAATGAGCTACTTCTATCCCTAGGAAATATCTCAGTTTCCCAAGGTCTTTGATTTCAAACTCAGAGGCAAGTCGTGTTTGCAGAATCTGTCTCTCCACAAAATCATCACCTGTGATAATAATATCATCAACATATACAAGGAGCACAGTAAGCTTCCCATTTTGGGAGTGCTTGAAGAAAAGAGTGTGATCTCCTTGGCTCTGTCTGTATCCTAAGGTCATCATAACTTTAGTAAATCTTCCAAACCAAGCACGAGGTGACTGCTTCAATCCATACAAGGCCTTTTTTAATCTACAAACTTTATTTCCCCCCTTCACAGAATCAAAACCAGGCGGGATTTCCATGTAGACTTCTTCTTCTAACTCACCATTGAGGAAAGCATTTTTCACATCAAATTGATTTATATCCCAATTGTAATGGGCAGCAAGGGATAACAAGATTCTCACTGTATTCATCTTTGCAACTGGAGCAAAGGTTTCTTCATAATCAATGCCATAGGTTTGAGTGTAACCTTTGGCCACTAATCGAGCCTTATATCTCTCAAGAGTGCCATCAGAATTATATTTCAGGGCATAAACCCATCTGCACCCTACTGCTTTCTTTCCGTTGGGTCTATCAATAACCTCCCATGTTTTATTTTTCTCCAAAGCATTCATCTCCTCTTGCATGGCTTGAGCCCAATTCCTATCTTTCAAGGCTTCATGTACTGATTTTGGGATTGCAATAGAATCTAGTGCTGAAACAAAGCTTTTGTGCTGCACAGAAAGATTAGCAGAGGAAACAAAGTGGGAGATAGGGTATTGAGTACAAGAGGGACAGGAGGAACAAGTTTTCTTGTGACAAGATCTTTTTCCTTTTCTAAGAGCAATAGGTAAGTCATCAGAAGTAGAAGTAACGGGTAAGTCATTAGAGATATCAGAAGAAATAGACAAATCATGAGAGGAAATAATATTAGAATCAGAAACAGGAGATTCAGGAGACTCAGAAGAAATAGGAGATTCAGGACTTACCAGTGGTTCAGACGATTGAGGTTGCTGGTGAGACAGTATGGGTTGTATCTCAGGTGTATTTGAAGGTTCTGACACACCAGGAGCAGACACACTAGGAAGAGAGAAGATTGATCCATACTCAAAGAAAGAAGGGGACGAGTCTTCTGAAGAACTATTCTCCCCCTGACGATGAGGACCCAGGAAATAAGATTCAGATTCTTGAAAGGTGACATCCACAGAAACAAAAAATTTCCGACTTGGTGGATGATAACACTTGTACCCTTTTTTATAAGGGTTATAACCAAGGAAGACACACTTAAGAGCCCTAGGATCCAACTTACTCCGATGTTGTTTATGAACATGGACAAAGGCAACACATCCAAACACTCTTGGTGGAAGGCTCTGCAATATGGGAACAGAAGGAAAGAAGGAAGTCATGGAATGAATAGGACTGATATTGTTAAGGACCCGTGAAGGTAAACGGTTGATCAAAAAAGTTGCAGCTAATACTGCTTCTCCCCAATAAGAACTAGGAACAGATGTCTGAAAAAGTAGTGCTCTAGCAACTTCAAGAAGGTGACGATTTTTCCTTTCAGCAACCCCGTTTTGTTGAGGGGTATCAACACATGTGAGCTCATGAATCATACCTCTGTCCGAAATGAATTGTGACAGGCGTTGATTGACGTACTCAGTACCATTATCAGATCTGAGTCTTTTAATACCCTTACCAAACTGAGTCTCAACCATGTGATGAAACCGAATAAATATCTCTGGTACTTCAGACTTGTCTTTCATCAAGTATATCCATGTTATCCGAGTACAATCGTCAATAAAAGAAACAAACCACCTTGCACCTGAAACACTGTGCACTTTAGAAGGGCCCCAAACATCAGAATGGATAAGAGAAAAAGGTTCCCTGCTTTTAATAGTGCTAGAAGGAAATGACACTCGATGGTGTTTTGCAAATTCACAAACATCACAATGAAAGGTCTCAACCGACTTATTGAGAAACAGAGAGGGGAACATAGACTTCAAAAGACTAAATGGTGGATGCGCGAGACGCTTGTGATGGAGCCAAATCATAGACTCTGCAGTAGAAGGATGACGTGTCATTAATAACTGATTTTTGCTAGCATGGTCTGGAAGGAGATGATACAACCCATCCTGTTCATTAGCAACTCCAATTGTCTTCTTCGTGGTAAGATCCTGAATAAGACAATGAGAAGGAAAAAATGTGATAGAACAATTCAAATCAGTTGTAAGTTTTTGAGTGGAGATAAGATTAGTAGAAAGCTGAGGAACATAAAGAACATTTTTAAGAAACAAGGAAGGTAGAATTTGAATGTTACCAGAACCAATAACTGATTTATGGGATCCATCAGCTACGGATATAGTATGACTACCAACAGTAGGATGATAAGAACAAAACAACTCAGTACGACAAGCCATATGATCAGTTGCACCAGAATCCAAAATCCATGAGGTTTTAAAATCAGTGCAAGAAGCAAGAAGAGATATAGAACGTGTGTTCTTACCAGATAAGATCGAAGAACTATCATGCTCGGCCATTCTTTAACAAAAAAAGTTAACAACCAGCGATAAAATCAACCAAACAGAATATCAAATGACCTCTGATCAGAAAAATAATTACAGATCCAGACAAAAGACAAGAAGACGAGAAGAATGGTGGTGGTCCGGTCCAAAAACACGGCCGCACGCGCCTCCACGCGCCGGAGAAAGGAGCTGCGCGTGGGATTCACTCGCCGGGAAAGGGGCGGCGCGTGAGAGCGCGTGGATGGGCTTCGCCGGCTGAGATTTTTCTGGTGTGGTCGTCCGGTGAGCGCGCACCTGTCTGTGGGTGGTCGCGGTTGAAAAGTCGCCGGAAAGTGGTCCAAACGGTGAAGACAGATCTGATTGGAGGCGGTCGGAGGTGTTTCGGTCGTTTGTGGCGGAGGAACAGTGCGTAGAATGATAGATCGGAGGAAAAATAAGGTCAACAATGGCCCCCTTGGTCCAAAAGGTCCCCGGAAAAATTTTCCGGTGGCGGCTGATGGCGGCAAGAGGCAAAGAAATTAGAGTTTTGTTAAAAAAGAAGATAATATGTGCGGAAGCAAAGCCCTCAGATCGAGAGCTCTGATACCAACTTGAAAAGGGGTATTCTAATATATTATAGAATTGTAAATAATCTGTACAAGGGGTTCTCTATTTATAGAGAATATTTGACCTAATTTTAACCTAATGGGCTTGGCCCAATACAACAAATAAATGACTAAATAATAACTAAATAATTATTATTTACAACAGTATATTACATATATGCAAACTGGAAAATAATATATTAGGAGCATTTTGTATTTTTATATTTCTCCGTATATATTTATAGATGTGTGTGCACACCCTATTTTGACGTTCTTTTATAAACAACTAAAAAATAGTATTAAAAAAGTAAAAATAAAATAAAATGATTTCTTGGTAAAAATCATGCTTTCAAAAATAATAATAATAATAATAAAAATGTCAGAAAGATAAAAGAAACTACTCCTCGGACAAACACACATGTTCTCGTATTGTTTTTTTTCTGCACCTGCTCTATGGAGAAGAGTGGGTGGTGGTTAAATTGATTAACTTGTTAGGCTTTAAAAAGAAAGGGGGGAGGAGATTTTCTGATATGGGGACTGTGTTTCTCAAAGAAAAAGATTAGTTTGGGAGAGTTTTAAAAAGAGGAGAGGGGGAAGGGATGATATTGTTTTGATATGCAGATTTGAATTGGTTTAGTGTAATTGAAAAAGATGATGTGAATACCTGTATCCCCTATCAGGTTATAATTTTGATATTGTTATCTGTTTGAGAAATTATGTAATGGTGTTAAAGTTACACTATTCAAGTGCTTAAATCTAGTTATCATTATGGTGTAAGTGCATGGCTTCTGAAATAATTAAGTCCTCGTGTACTTTCACTTAAATTTCGTTGATTTCATAGTTTCTATGCGTGCATTGATTGATATCTAATATTCTTAAACCTTGTTATGGATACAGATCCATATGTGATGGCCATATTTCTACTGAAAGCAGTTCAATTGAGGAAGATATTGTAGATGTTGATACATCAATACAGTTTAAGAATATACCAGATTCTTTTGTTAATCTTCCAACCAACTCATATCCACTTGTAATAACATTTCAGAAGTTTATAAGGATGCTTGATGGGACTTTAGGGAATTCCTTTTTTGAAAGATTTAGTGACCAATCTTCTCATAGTCAGAACCTTGGTGTAAGATCTGTTGCTTTGGAGACCTTCATAAGGAACAAGGAAGTGACTTATGACAGATTTGATTCATTATATTGGCCCCATTTCAATTCCCAATATACTAAGACTCTAGATTCCTCGAGAGTGTTCGCTGAAATCATTTCTCATATAAAAGGGGGTATACCAGCTCTTGAGTCTGGTGATGGTAACCTAAGCCGCGAGGATTATCTTTCCTTATCTGTAAACCGAGCCTCAATTTTAGCAAAGCAGAAAAGAGAGATCATATATGACATTTATCAGAGTTATGAAAAAATGAAAATGGATAAAGGAGATTTTGATTTGGCTGATATTGTAATAGACATTCATTGTCGACTCAAAATTGAAAGATATGAGGGTGATGAGATGCACTTTGTGTATATTGATGAGGTGCAAGATCTAACCATGAGTCAAATTGCTTTATTTAAATATGTGTGCCAAAATGTTGAAGAAGGTTTTGTTTTTTGCGGTGATACAGCACAGACCATTGCAAGGGGAGTTGATTTTAGGTTCCAAGATATAAAATCTTTATTTTACAAGAAGTTTGTGCTAGAATCAAAGAGAAACACACATAGCCAAGGAAAGGAGAAAGGGGAAATTTCAGATATCTTTTTATTGAATCAGAACTTTCGTACTCATACTGAAGTTCTTAAATTATCCCAGAGCATCATTGAGCTTCTTTTTCGTTTTTTCCCTCATTCTATTGATCTTTTGAAGCCTGAGACTAGTTTGATATATGGGGAAGGTCCTGTTGTTCTTGAATGTGGAAATAGAAAAAATGCAATTGCTACTATTTTTGGCAGTAGTGGAGATGTGGGTGGGAAAATTGTTGGCTTCGGAGCCGAGCAAGTAATTTTGGTACGAGATGATTTTGCTCGTAAGGAAATTTTAGACTACATAGGGAAACAGGCTCTTGTTTTAACCGTTTCCGAGTGCAAGGGCCTTGAGTTTCAGGTTATCACAAACTCATCTTATTTAATATATTTCTATGGTGTATGATATGTCATTTTTTTACTGTCTTCTGTGTCCTTTTCCAGGATGTATTGTTGTACAACTTTTTTGGCTCTTCACCCCTGAAAAATCGATGGAGAGTGATATACGAGTATATGAAGGAACAAGATATGCTAGAACCTACAGAACTTAAGTCTTATCCAATTTTCAATTATTCCAAACACCATATTCTGTGCTCTGAGCTTAAGCAGTTATATGTGGCTATAACTCGTACGAGACAGAGATTGTGGATTTGTGAGAATACAGAGGAGTTCTCTAGACCTATGTTTGACTATTGGAAAAAGAAGGGTCTTGTACAATTTAAAGAACTGGATGATTCACTTGCTCAGGCAATGAAGGTTGCAAGTAGTCCAGAAGAATGGAGGTCACGTGGCAAAAAGGTTGTTTTTATAATTGACCAATATATTCATTGAGCTATTATAATGATAAATTAAATTAACACATCGTGTACTCTTTTTTTTATTAGATTGGTTCATTGTTCAGTGGTGATTTGTAAGGTATTATAAATTGCTTAGCTACCTACAATATCTGAGTACCTCATGGATCATATCATGCTATATTAAAAAGGATACGGATCAGTTGCAGGTTCCAACTTTACCTGATGCAGTTATAATACAATATATGAAAAAATTTATATCTCATTAATTTTTAACATTTTATCATAAAATCAAAATATTTAAGGGTGAGGGCAGAGGATCTTGATCAATATCACAAGTAGTTTCGTACTGTGAGAGGCATAGAGCAAATTTTTTATATCTACCATTTCTATCTCTAAATGATATTATGCCATATTGACTGTTCCTTTGCAGATATATTATCAAAATAATTACGAGATGGCAACAATGTGTTTTGAAAGAGCAGGTGACTCTTGTTGGGAGAGAAAGTCTAAGGCCGCTGGTCTTAGGGCAGGAGCAAATCATTTGCACGATTTGAATCCTGAGGATGCAAATGCAATGCTTTGGGAAGCTGCTGAAATTTTTGAAGGAATAGGAATGGCTGATTCTGCTGCGCAGTGTTTTTCTGATTTGGGTGATTATGAAAGAGCTGGTATGAACTTGAGCTTTGTCATCTATGTCTATACTTTTATGCCATTTTCCTATGAACTATTTTATTGGTTTTAGAGCTTCAAGTATTTGTTTATTAGGCATTAAGTAATTATTTAACAACAAAAACAGTGAGTTTACCTACTTGATCATGTCCTATGTTCATTGGCTGGGGTTACCCAGGTTGCAGATTGAAACCTGCTCAAAAGTAGAATAAAAAATGAAGAATGTTTATTTCTCTAATGAATATAAAAGTTGAAACCCATAAATTATGTGGTCCTTTGATATATGTCATATGCATCTTAAACACTAACATTGGGAAGGTGTGTTCCATTGATGGAGGATACCTGTATTTATAGGTGAAGACTTCCTTAATTCTCTTCTACACCATCAATCATGTCTCTTTTGTTGTAAATAATAATAATTATTTTATTTATTTATTTATTGTTATATTCTATATTCTTCCTTGGGCTTAGCCTAATAGGTCATTTAGTCTCTTTAAATATAGCACCCTTTGTACGGTTGAAAACACAATTCAATAATATATTTCCTTTTATTTTCTAGTTGGTATCAGAGCTCTCGATTATGAGGGCTTTGCTTCTTTTACTGCCGCCTTTAGAACGAAACCCTATTTGTTTTCCTCTCGTCACCATCGAAAATTGTTTTTTCAGGGACCTTTTGGATCAAGAGGACCACCGTTTGATTCCTTTTTCCCAGATCTATCAATCTATGGACGCTTCCCAGTCACAAAACGACCCAAATAGCCTTAAAACACTATTCCCGCAATCCAAACAGCTAAAAAATAATGTTCCCGCTACTATTCATATCCGGAAAACACTGTTCTGATGAGTTTTGGAACTCCGATCAGCCACAGACAGGACCGCCACCTCCAAACGACCCCGCCGTGAAAAGTCCACCGACACCGGAATCCTCAGGGGGCGGCCTTAATTTTCTGCTCGTAGGACTCACGTGCCAGCACTTCCCCGCCGCTGTTTTGCCTCGGACCACCACGGTTCTGATCGTCTCTCCTTCCCGATTCCAGTTTTGTGTTTTCCTCTGCGGTCAGACGCCATTTGGGTTTGTGTTTGTGCGATTTTTTTGCTGTTTGTTATCTCTTCTTTGCATTATGGCCGATCTCGATGGTGATTTGACTGTTACACAGCCTTTCTCACAATTTGGTGATAGCCCGCTTGGCCACAATGATCTTCCTACTTTACATTAAAGTTATCGGCTTGATGGGTCGAATTATTTATCACGGTCTCAGCTTGTTCGCACTATCATCAAGAGTCGCAATAGGATTTCTCATCTCGATGGCCCTGCTCTTGCATCCTTGATCCTAAGTTTACTGTCTGGGATAATGAAGATTCCCTTATTATGACTTGGTTATGGAACTTGATGGCTCTTGAAGTGTGTCGTCACTATATGTTTTTATCTTCTACCAGGGAGATTTGGGAAATTGTCTGCTCAACCTACTCTTTGAAACAAGATATGGCTGCGTGCTATGAATTGCAAAATAACATCTTTTCTACTAAATAAGACTCCTTATCTGTGACAACTTATTAAGGTGTTATGAAGGAATTATGGACTGAGCTCGACCAATTTCAGAGTTTGAAGATTAAATGTAGTGCGGATGCCACTGCCTTAGCCAAGGAGGTGGAAAATAAGTGTATTTTTTATTTTCTTGCTGGGTTGAATTTCGAATATGATCCTATTCGGGTTCAGATACTTGGCAAAGACACATTACCATCCTTCTCTGCTGTTTCCAATACTGTTCGGGGTAAGGAGACTCGTCAGGGAGTTATGATGCACCCCAACACATTAGATAAGTTCGCTATGTTATCATCCTCTGAGGTTGTTACTGTTTCTAAACCTATTGATAGGTCTGCTGTGATCTCAACAAAAAGGGATGGCTCTTCTCAAGGAGGTTCCTTCACCAAATCTGCTGATGGTGCATCCTCTAGATCCAAGAAAGATTATCGCTGGTGTTCCTATTGTAGAAGGGCAAGTCATATCAAGGATCTATGCTTTCGCCTCCATGGAAAGCAAAATGTCTTGGAAAAGATGGCAAAGATGCGTGGTCAAGCTCATTCAGTGTCCTCTGGTGTGACTACTGAACCTAATGAAGTCTAACCTACATCTTTGGAATTTACTTCTATACGCCGAGATGAGTTGGAACGGATTTGGGCTATGCTTGACTCTCTAAGTAAGACATCTAGTACTAGTGCTTTAGCTATTACTTAAATTAACTCTACTACTCATTCTTTTCTTGCTTCCTGTACTAATCATATGGTGCTACTGATCATATGGCTTGTTGTGCTGACTCCTTCCTTTCTTATAATTCCACTTTTGACACACATAAAATAGCCGTAGCTGATGGCTTACACACATCAATTGCTATTTCCGGTAACATATACTTATAGCCCACAGTACATCTCCAAAATTCTCTTCATGTTTCCAAACTCTACTAATCTTCTTTCTATTCATAAAATTACCAAATATTTGAATTGCACTGTAACCTTTCCTACTCATTGTGTTTTTCAAGATCTCGCCATGGAGAAGATGATTGGGGTGTTAAAGAGCAAGGTGGGCTGTACTATTTGGTTCTAGAATCTTTCGCAGATTGTGTTAAGGATCATTGTAATACCCCATATTTTTTATTAACTTTAACCTTATGTCTTTTAGTTAATTTGAGGAGCTCAAACTTTTAAGTTTCGAGGACGAAACTTCTTTTAAGGAGGGTAGAATGTAATACCCCATATTTTTATTAATAAAATAATAATAATAATAATAATAATAATAATATAATAATAATAAACTATAAATTAGTAGTAATAATATATATATATATATATATTATGGTGATAGATAACAAAATATAATATTAATTTTACCTTTGATAAAATTATTTAGTTTGTTGACTCATGGCTAGTCTACTGCTAATTTTTTTATTTGGCTTCATCATAAACGTTTGGGGCATTCTCCATTTAGTTTGCTTAAGTCTTTATTTCCATCATTATTTTTGTCTAAGTCTGTTGAGTCTTTTCATTGTGATGTTTGTGAGTTTGCTAAACATCATCATGTATCTTTTCCTTCTAGTACTATTAAAAGTGTTGAACCTTTTGATCTTAATCATTCTGATGTTTGGGGTGCTTCTGAAGTCCTTCATGCTTCTGGTAATAAATGGTTTGTTTATTTTATTGAAGATTGCACTTGTGTAACTTGGATTTACTTAATGCATGAAAAGTCTGAGGTACCACAGTTATTCTTTCAATTTTATAAATGATTGAGACCCAATTTAGTAAAAGAATCAAGTCTGACAATGGTACCGAATATGTTAATCACCGTCTTTCCTAATTTATCCAAGGTTTGGGTATGATTCATAAACTTACTTGTGTAGACACCTCTCAACAAAATGGGGATACTGAGAGGAAGAATCGTCACCTTCTTGAAGTTGCTCATGCCTTACTTTTTCAGACACGTAACCAATTGCTACTGGGGAGATGTCGTTCTTACTGCAGCATTTTTGATCAACCGCTTACCCACTCGGGGTCCTTGACAATGCAAGTCTCATTCACTCAATAACTTCGTTCTTTCCCTCTGTTCCCACTACGCAGAGTCTTCCTCCACGGGTGTTTGGGTGTGTTGTCTTTGTTCATGTTTATAAACACCATCGCAGTAAGTTAGATCCTGGGGCTCTTATATGTGTCTTCTTTGGTTATGCCTTTGATAAGAAAGGCTACAAGTGTTATCATCCTGCCTGTCTGAAATTTTTTGATTTTATAGATGTTACCTTTCATGAATCCAAGTCCTTTTTCCAAGGTCCTCATCCTGGGGTGGGGTGGGGTGGGGGAAGCAGTTCTTCAGCAGACTCATCACCTTCCTTCTTTGAGTCTGGATCTTCCATGTCTACTCTTACACCTCTTCCTCTTCTTTCTGATCCTCCTGTGTCTGATCAATCAAATACACTGGAGATACGGAAGATTGTAACACTTGATTTGGTATATCAAAGAAGGAAACAACCCACACTGCTTCATCAGCAACCTCAATCGTCTGAACCACTGGTATGTCCTGAACCTCTTGTTTATAAACCTAATATTAGTACTTCTGATGACTTACTCATTGCCCTAAGAAAAGGAAAAAGATCTTGTTCCTAAAGATCTTTCCCATCTTGTACTCAACACCCCATCTCTCATTTTGTCTCTTTTACTAACCTTTCTATGCAGCACAAAAGCTTTGCTTCAGCACTAGATTCTATTTCAATCCCAAAATCAGTACATGAAACATTAAAAGATGAGAATTGGGCTCAAGTCATGCAAGAGGAGATGAATGCTTTGGAGAAACATAAAACATGAGAGGTTGTTGATAGACCTAATGAAAAAAAACACTAAGGTGCAGATGGGTTTATGCCCTAAAGTATAATTCTGATGGTACTCTTGAGAGATATAAGGTTCAGTTAGTCGCCAAGGGTACCTATGGCATTGATTGTGAAGAAACTTTTGCCCCAGCTGCAAAGATGAATACTATGATAGCCTTGTTATCCTTTGCTGCCCATTACAACTGGCATATAAATCAATTTGATGTGAAGAATATTTTCCTTAATGGTGAATTAGAAGAAAAGGTCTGTAAAGAACCAATTAAATCCAAAAGCTTAAGTTGTTGGGTGTGACTACAATTATGAAGCACGGATACGCAAAAAAAAAAAAAAAAATCTACGTATCGGACACACGTCCGATACGGATACGTTAGGATACTCATATTTTACGTATCAAATGGGTCAATGGCATTTCAGTAATTTTCTTAAAAAATAAAACACGTTTTTTTTTTTTTTGACAAAAAGAACCCAAATCGATGGAATCTCATCAGACGCCCTTAAAGAACTCTCACCTGGTCCTGACCTACACGCCACAACGTCATTCTTGTCCCTCCTCTGCCTTTGGCCGTCGCTGGTTTGCCGTCGCTGTTCCTCCTCCGCCGTCGGCCGTCGCTGTTTCTGCTCGGCTCCTCCACGGTTTTGTTGGTAGCTGTTTCTCCTCGATCTTCCTTCCTTCTTGGCTGTCGGTGGTAGCTGTTCGTCCTCCGACCTCCATCCATCGTCGTTCTTCCTCCTTGTCGGTCGCTGCTCCATCGTCTTTCTTTTTTGTCGGTGGCTGACTCGCTGCTCACTCACGCACGGAAGGTAATAAGTGAATGAAGGATTGCCTTTTATTTTTATTGTATTTATATTTTTTATTTTTTATTATGTAATTTATAATAGGAGATGAGTGTTAATATTTTTGAAAGAGTAGTTAATAATTATTTTTTGTATATAAATTTCTATTTACATATTATTTGTATTTATATTCTGTTTATAAAAATTCTGTATTTATATTTATATTTAATGTTTATATTTGTATATTCTTATATATCTCAACACGCCCCTTCACACGAGAGCCCACTAAGCTTGAAAAGTGGACAATACACAGGCCCACCTACATGTGCGAAGAAAGAAATTCTACTAGAAAGAAAGTGGGGGAGGTGAGGATCGAACCCGGTACATCGAGGCTTTGATACCATGTAAATAACCAATTCAACCCAAAAGCTTAAGCTGTTGGGTGAGGCTACATTAATGGTTTTATATATCTCAACAAGGTCTATATGGAAATCTCGCCTAGTTTTGATTCTATGGATGGAGAAAATAAAGTTTGCAGGTTAAGAAAAGCCTTGTATGGATTGAAGCAGTCCCCTCGTGTTTGGTTTAGGAGGTTTACTAAGGTTATGATGACCTTACGATACAACAGAGTCAAGGAGATCACACACTTTTCTTTAAGCACTCCCAAGATGGGAAGCTCAGCATGCTCCTTGTTTATGTTGATGATATTGCGAAGAGGCATATTCTGCAAGCATGACTAGCCTCTGAGTTTGAAGTTAAAGACCTTGGGAAATTGAGATATTTCCTAGGGATAGAGGTAGCTCATTCAAAGGAAAGAATTTTTATCAGCCAGAGAAAATATGTCCTTGATCTTCTTAAAAAAGCAGGAAAACTTGGGTGCAAACCCTCTAGTACTCCTATTGACAAGGATCACAAGATGAGTTATGAAAAGGAGACTCCTCCAGTAGATAAAGGACAATATCAACGATTAGTTAGGAGACTGATATATCTGGCTCATACCAGACTAGACATACCTTATGTTGTTTGTATTGTCAGTCAGTTTATGCATAATCCAAAGGAAAAACACATGCAGGCAGTGGAGAGAATTCTCTAGTATCTTAAAGCCACTCCTAGTAAAGGACTGTTATTCCGGCGCGATGACAATCTCGCTTTAGAAGTTTATACTGATGTTGATTATGCTGGATTTGTGACTGACCACCAATCTACCACTGGTTATTGTATGTTTCTTTGTGGCAACTTAGTGACGTGAAGGAGTAAGAAACAAGATGTGGTTGTCAGGTCAAATGTAGAGGTTGAATTTCGAGTTATAATTCAAGGTTTTTGTGAATTGTTATGGTTGAAAATTATACTTGATGAACTCAAAATAAGAATTGAAGGACCTATGAAGCTGCTATGTGATAATAAGTCCACTATTTGTATAGCTCATAATCTAGTTCAACATGATCAGACTAAGCATATTGAGGTCGATCATCATTTCACCAAAAAGAAACTTGATAGCGGGTTGATTGCCACTCTATACATTCCTTCTGGGCATCAATTAGCTGATATTTTGACAATAGGACTTCCTTCAGATAGATTTCAAGAACTTACTAGCAAGCTGGGAATGATAAATATTTTATTCCTCAGCATGACGGGAAGTGTTGTAAATAATAATAATTATTTTATTTACTTATTTATTGTTGTATTATAGAATCTTCCTTAGACTTAGCCCAATAGGTCATTTAATCTCTTTAAATAGAGTACCTTTTGTACAATTGAAAACACAATTCAATAATATATTTCCTTCTATTTTCAAGTTCCTTCAAAGACAAAAGTTGACAATCACCTTTACTTTATTGTCTCCCTCAAAGTCAGAAATGACTTACCAGTTTTTTACTTCTCATTTTTGACTTTATATTGGGAAGCTTTGTTCCATTGATTTGCTTATTTGTTCTTTCTTGTTTTCTTTTTATTCTTTTGTTTTGGAGGATTCCTTATCCTCCTTTCCCTTTGTCTTAATAATTTTTTTTTTTATTTAAAAATAAAAAAATAAAACCACCAACAATGATATCAAATTTCTATGTCCCATATTCGACAACCGTTGTTTTGTGTTATAACAAATGAGTTTACTTTATAGATACTGTTCTTGCCCTATCGATGCTTAATACATATTTTGAACTGCTGCTAGAGCCAGCTTACCAATTTTTGTGTACATTTATGGTTTTTTTTTTTAATTTTCACATTATTGAAATTGAATAAATACCTGTTGCTTGTTCTTGTGATTTTTTTTTATTTTTTTTTATGTATCTATAGGAATTCTACTAATGCTAGATAATGTTACTGACAACTGTATATAAAAACACAGAATTGCCACCTAAGCTTGCTCATATTTTTAACGCATTCTCATTTTTAGGCTTCATCTTTAAATTGTGAACTTTTACTCTACAAGATTAATATTGTTTCTGCTAACAGGGAATCTTTATTTGGAGAAATGTGAAGAGCCTGATTTGAAAAGAGCAGGGGATTGCTTTTATTTAGCTGGATGTTATGAAATTGCAGCTCAAGTGTATGCTAGAGGCAGTTTCTTCTCAGATTGTTTGACTGTTTGTACAAAAGGAGGATTGTTTGACAATGGTTTATCTTACATTCATCTCTGGAAACAAAATGAAAGTGCTGGCCATACGGCTAGAAGTCATGAACTATACACAATAGAACAGAAGTTTCTGGAAAGTTGTGCTCGTAATTATTTTGATCGTAAAGATACCAGATCCATGATGGAATTTGTTAGAGCTTTTCATTCGATGGATTTGAAACGTGAGTTCTTACAACAATTAAGTTTACTTGATGAGCTTCTTGTGTTAGAAGAGGAATCAGGGAACTTTATGCAGGCAGTAAACATTACTAGGATGATGGGTGGTGTTCCACGTGAGGCTGACCTGCTGGGAAAAGCTGGTAAATTTGTGGAAGCTTATGAACTTGTGCTTTTCTATGTACTTGCACATTCTCTTTGGTCTGCAGGAAGCAAAGGATGGCCCTTAAAGCAGTTTTCACAGAAGGTTGAGCTTTTGGGAAAAGCATTGTCATTTGCAAAGGAAGAGTCAAACAGTTTTTATGAGCTTGCTTCTACAGAAACTGAAATATTATCCAATGAGCATAGTAACATTTTTGAGTTACTGATTCATTTGAAATCTTCTCGCATGTATGGGAGTGTCGGAGGTGAAATATTATGTTTATGGAAACTTTTGGATGCTCATTTTCAACTGAAATCCTCCAAGTATGTCTGGCAAGACGATATGTTCAATGATTCTGTGGAAGAAATAATTTTGAAGAATCATCTTTCTGTGGAGACACTGTTTTACTGTTGGACATGTTGGAAGGATAACATCGTTCATATATTGGAATATCTTCCAAGTTTAAAATCCCATGACATTCACCAGCACAGCAGTTATGGGAAGTTTGTATTGAATTTTTTGGGTGTTCAAAAGAAATTTTCTAATCGAAATGACATCTACCTTTTGCTCATCCCTGATGCTAACTGGGTGATACAATTGGGTGACAGATCTCTAAAGAAGAATGGAAGGATGGTTTCTGTTGATGTTCAATCTTTAGTTTCTGCTGCTGAGAGCTATTGGCGTTCAGAAATGGTTTCTGTTGGCATGGATGTCTTGCGCAACCTCGATGCACTGTACAAGTTGTCAGTTAATAAAGTTCTTTCTGATTTTTGTCAATTCAGGTCTTTGATGCTTATCTATGAGGTCTCAAAATTTCTCCTTGAATCCAAATGTTTTAGCCACAGCTTTAATAACTTAAAAACATTGGAGAATTATCGCAGACAACCAATTCATCATTTCTTTCGCTATGTAGTTCCTCTAGACTGGAAGAAATCACTGTCAAAAGACATGTTTTCGCTTAGGTTAACTGAGGATTGTGAGGATTTGGGGAAAGAGGTCATCTATGAAAACATTAAACTGAAAGGTAGGCTGACTTATGGTCAAATTGGAAGGGTGGCAGTTATGATTCTTGGTACAGCTAATTCGAAAAATGAACTGTCTGTGGAGATCATGAAAAGATTTGAAGATAATCCTCCCTGGAAAGAGTTCATTCAGAGCTTGCAGTGGAATTCAGCAACTGAAATTTCACAAGACAATGAAGCAGTTAAAGAGGTGCATCGCATATATAAGTTTTGTGATGCTTTGCAGTATACTTACAATGTGAACTGGACAGAGGAAGTTGACTATATATCTCCAAGTTGTTTTATGTATCTCATTGAACGCCTTCTCCTCTTCACATCATGCTGGGAGGGGTTCATTTTTGCCACAAAGTCATCTTTTGTTGAATGGCTCATTCACCAGGATGAAAATTCCCTTCCGAATTTTAGTTTATTGGCTGAGGTGCATCCAGATGTAAAAGATGTCCATAAGTTCATTGCCTATGTCCTCCGGGAGTTCCTTTATAATCAAAATGATACCAAACATTGGATTAAAAAATCAAACCTAAATGTGAAGTATTATTTTCCGTTGTTTGTGCTGAGATTGGTTGTTTTGATATGTTTGCTTCACCTCAGCTCTGGTAAATATTTAGAGTTACTTCACGAGTTGTTGGGGAAGAGCCAAGTGACCACTCAACTGCCATTGGAATTTTATAATGTTCTTCGGAAAGGACGGAGGCGCCTTGGTTTGAAAGTCTTTGCTGAGGCATTTAAAATGATTGACAATCCCTTGGTAGTTGTCAGGTTATGGAACAACTCTTCAGAAATTGTGTGTCCAGATGCTGTGTTTGTGGATTTCAAGATATGCCAGCAAAGAGAGCTCATATTACAAGTATTGTTTCCTAATACTGTTGACAATGTGGGTGGGGAAACTGAAGCAGTTATAGTAGAAGCTTCTGGCTCAACATCTAATGAGTTTCCTTCAAAGTTTCCCAATACTGTTGACAATGTGGTTGGAGAAACTGCAGCAGTTATAGTAGAAGCTGCTGCCTCAACATCTAATGAGTTTCCTTCAACGTTTCCTAATACTGTTGATAATGTGGGTGGGGAAACTAAAGCAGTTATAGTAGAAGCTTCTGGTTCAACATCTAATGAGTTTCCTTCAACGTTTCCTAATACTGTTGACAATGTGGTTGGGGAAACTGCAGCAGTTATAGTAGAAGCTTCTGGCTCAACATCTAATGAGTTTCCTTCAATGTTTCCTAATACTGTTGACAATGTGGGTGGGGAAACTGAAGCAGTTATAGTAGAAGCTTCTGGCTCAACATCTAAGGAGTTTCCTTCAACAAACTGTTCCAGTGTTCCAAATAACAGTTCCACTCCTGTTTCAGATCAGACATCTAATAGTGGGATGAAATATGAAATCAACATGTCTATGAATGCTGACTACTTTTGGGATATGTTGGAAAATATGCAGTTGGCAGTTGATGAATCATGTCTCAATATGGTGTCGTGTAATTCCATTATAATAAGGGTAATCCAGTTTTTATTTTTATTTTTATTTTTTACTTTTGGATTGTGTTTAAATACAAAGTCAAAATGGCTTCAATCAAGGGTCCAGTGTCTAAAACAATTTTTTGTTTCTTCACTTTTTTCATTCTCTCTTCAGGAATTTTTGGATCCTTGCATTGAACTTTTGATTTCTTCAATATCTGGAAGCTTGTCAGAGAACCCTGTTAACCTTAAAAACAAAACTGAATTGGAGGAGGTGGTAAGCTTGCTTGATGAAATGAAGCAACTTTCTTCAGCATTGAGTGTGAAGTAAGTTATATAAGTAACTTGTTCATGTCATAAATTTTCTTATGAGTTTTCTGATTGCTCTTTCCAATCAGCAATTTAAGATTTAGTATAGTAACAGATATTGCAATATTTTTACTATTTTGGTCGTTAACCTTTTTCTCTTGGATCTTCTCTAGTGATTCGTTGATTGAGAATCGTATTCCAGTGATTGGTGAACTCGCTAAGAAAATTCTTGTAAGACGACCAAAAGTAGCGCACATTTTGAATAAGCTGGTTTTGATAAACAAGATTACCAATGTTGAGTATGAGACGACATCACAAGCCAGCATTGAAGCAGGCAATGATGACCAAGGGCAAAATGATTTGGTGGAATCAAAAGATATCATGTCCAAGAATTTCCAAGGTGCTATCAACTCAGGCCGTGCAAACATAATGGAATGTTGCTGTATTTGCTGACTTTGGTGGCAGCAGCAATTTTTGGTTGGAAATTAGGTGCAAGCAAAAATTAGGCAGCCTAATGTTCTTTCTTAGCCACCATATCAAGCGAATTTGCTGGCTGATTTTTGGATGATTTCACACCTTAGTTTTGCAACTACATATGAGGTTTCTTGCATTTGGTTTAATGTATCAAACTACAGACCACGGTTTTATTAGAAACCATTGAATTAGTTGATCATGGGTGTTAAATTAGCGTATTCATATGTAGATGTACTACCTTATCTTCAAAATAACTAGTTTTTGAGATCAAATCTCGCTGGCGAGATTGGTTTGTAACCTTTTGTTTCAAGGATACAATAACTACTGACTAATCGCGAACGATGAATCTCCAAAAAAGAAATACAAGGATTCACTGTTACCGTTGAGACAATGAAGCTTAGGGGAAATATTTATTCTAATTTGCCCAAAATTATTATGATGTTTTCTTCCATCATACATAACTTATCTTCTCTCTTAACAATGCACTTATTTTTTAAAGAATTGTCTGAATTCAATAAGTAGGCTTCCTCAATGCCCATGGAAGCAATCTTTGAAAGAATACACGACAATAATGACTCTCTATGCCAACCAGTTTTGCTTCTCTTATATCAGCACAGCTAGTCATATTGGAAGCATAACCATCCAGAAGCTAAAGATTTTTAACCCATTCACAAATTGCTGGCATTTGTTGTATGGTAAATCTGTAGTGTGCTTATGGTTTTCCGAGGCTGCCACTTGGAGTAAGTTGTATATCAAGACCTCCCCGCCAACAATGCACTTCCAAGTCCCTTATGGCATTGTAAGCGTTTTTTGTCTTACCTTTTTGTGTCCTCCATTATGAACAAGATATTAAGAAAGACATTTATCTAATTGTGCATCCTATCAAGATTGTGTCAAAGAAGCCGATTTTTTCAATATGGCAGTGCTTATAATTGTGCATCCATCATTTATGATGAGATAAAAGAGAGAAAAATGTATGATTTTTAAATGAATGATTGTGATCAAATAACATAATCACATGATCACTTTTCTATATGAAAGGATCCAAATCCGTCAAATTGTGTTCTACCCCAAAGCTTGGCAAATTTTGTTCTAACGAGTCCTCCATACTTAGTAAATTCCCTATCCTTTCCCATTCTACTTAGCCACACTACTTTTGTGTCAGCTTTTTCCTAAGTAAATGAAGTCTTATTCCTCCCAGATATATGGATGATCATGCGACGATAACCAGCAATGCGCATCAATTTTTCTCTTTGGGTTAGATGAGCTTAGAATCATGATGGTTAGGAACATGAATTCTCTTCTCAAGCGCATCATATTGTAAGGAGTAATAATTTCAGGCAAGCAGATGCCATTAATATGCGGAAAGAAATATATATGAAGCAATGTTTTGTTAGTGTATATTCATCCAAACCAAGTAAGTGTTAGCATCGAGTACAGAAGCGGTACGTTGTTACACTTACATAATCTAGATAAAAAAAAGCCTAAAAAAGTACATAATATCTTGAAAATTGCTCGGCAGGAAAATGTAATTTTCTTTGTGTTACTTTAATCAATACAACCCTATAATGACACCAATTTTTTTTGTTAAAAACTAAAAACACAAACCACGTGATCAAATTTTCATTTGAAAAAGCCTTTGTAATTTTTTTTCCCTGGTAAATAGAATTGGATTCCACAAAATGAACAATAGACACTCGGCAAACACCATCAACTAATTAAAGTTGCAAAAGATTGAGGGAGGTAATATACGTTCAAGAGAAGGTCGAGATAAAAATTTGCAAGCGAGTTGCAAGTTAGCCAGCCAGACTTCTTGAAATAATGTAGCTAATATAGAAAAGAAAGATGAATTAGGAATGACTAATAATGTAAACATTCCTCTTGCTTACGCTACATGGAAGCGTGAAACAAAATTATCCAAAAGAAATGCCCTTTGAAGTCTGAAATATTTTTCAGTAGATTTGTGACAAGAGACATAATATTATTACATGATAGCCATTGCAAATTTTCATAGAAAATTCACATCAAACTGTGAACTGCATCTTTTCAACAAACATAATTCACAATAAAAAAAATAACGATTTATGTTGGTCTAAGGTGTGAACAATGAAAATGGATCCTCTCATATGTAATTTAACATGATCTTGTCACGTGGGAGGATCTTAACCATTAATAATTAAATCAACGGTGATGATTGTGTAACTTCCTATTCTTATATTTTTTTTTTTTCTCTCCTTCCTTATTACCATTAACTCACCCATATATGGTTATGATTGTCCCACGTGATCTATGTTAATTAGCACGTGAAAGGATCCACTCGGCTGACAAATAATATACGATCCCCATGAAAGGTTTGATTATTACTGTATAAGCCGACTTTTAGGTTCTGATAAGGTGAAGATCATGTCTATGTGAGGCAAGTGTGTGATTTGTAAAGCTTGAGGAACGGTGGGGTAGAAGGTTTAGGCTTAATCCGATGCGAGATGTGAAAGGTCATTTCCAATGTGTAAGAGTTTTATTGGCGGTTAGAGTGCATATTCCAAAAGGGGTGAGGTGTTAGATGTACCCTGTATGTGTGTAAAGTGGAAGAGGGTCCTTTGAGTTTTGTTCTCGAATTCGAATGAGTTGGAGTAAGTGTTACCAAGCTTCGAGCTAGGGTCCTTTGAGTTGCGCTATCGCAGCATTCTAGAGCTGAAATTTCGTCAATGCTACAAAGCTTCCAAGGACTCTTTTTCGAAAGATTCGAATTTATCTCGATGGGCTTTTTTTTCTTGTATTTTTTTTTTCTCCCACGTAAGGTACTAGAGAATACTATAGGCAATTATATGTGAATGTTCTTCTCTTGCAATTTTATTTTAAATTCATTTATGTATTCTAAGTATTATGAGTTTTTCCCTTTTCCATTTGCATGTTTACAAATTTAGAAGTTAAAAACCAAATAAACGAGAAAGTGTAAGGAGGAAAAAGGGAGGTGCTTGTTATCATGGCAACTGGAATCATCTCTCCTATCTCCTGGAGATGGAGACCCTCATGAATTCACCGCCTTTGCCGTCGTCACATTGAAATTTGCCTAAATACATATGTTCCCACACCACATTCTGTACGTCAACCTCTTCACAAGTTCCCTTGTAGAAATTTCGAAGAAGTCTGCGAGGACTAAAGAGAACGTTTGCATGGAATATCAAAGGTAAGCTTTCTTTCTTTCTTTTTCTAAATTATCCGTTAGTTATCTTTTCAACTCCTGTGGACAATTACCAAAATAACAAGGTATGATTGGTTGCTGGAACACAAAAAGCAATAAAGAAATTCTAAGCAGAAAAAACATTGTTTATCTCGTTTGTACCAGCAGATATTGTATCAGCAGGATTTTGTTTTGGGACTATATCTATTTTTGAATCATTTTGGAGCTGTATTAAGATTTGTATTAGATAAAATTGTATCAGCAGGTTGAGGATGTCAAGCATGAATATGTACTGAAATTGGATACGATTAATCTTTAACATTTAGTTAGGTATTTACCCCTTGTTTTTTATGAGTTGGTGTTACTTCTTTGATCCTCATTCCTGAACGATTTGTGGAGACATATATTGATTATAATTGTCTCTGTTTTATCTCTGTGACAAAACTATTAATGAGTTTGACACCTTTCAAGATGTACTTCATATTTATGAGGGAAGTTTTAAGCAATAGGAATAAGGGTGACTAATGTAGTAACACTCTCACTTGTTGCCTTAGGAATAAGAGGTCACATCGTTCACGAAAGTTTTGTACCGAGTCATTGTTGGGAACGAAGTTGCCATAGGAAAATAGGACTTCGTATACCATTTAGCCCATAAGTTGAGGAATTAGAGTTGACATTATAGAGACCTGAACAAATTCATTGGGTAAGGTCTTGAGCTGAGATTTCAGTTGGTTTAACAGTGGATTAATGGATCCATTCCCTTTCTTTAATTTATCGTTCTATTTAACAAACCATGATGTTATTTTTTGCTAAAGCTTACTTTACTTTTCTGCATTATTTTATTTTGTTTAACACCACACACCTCAGTCATTTATTCTTATGATTTATCGTTCCTCCTTGTATTAGGAAGGACATGAGTATATAACGGCATAAGGAATTGTTTGAAGTTAAACTGAACCATTTGTCACAAGGGAACACCCTTGGGATACTTGGGGACGTCAACCAGGACAATTCCTATTATTTTCATTATTTAACACAACCTAAAATATCAGTTAGCAATACTTTCTCCATGAGAACGATAATCTGGGACTTAATATTCTTCTTTATTACTTGATGTGTGTACACTTGCGCGAAGTGGTCTTCATTCTAGGGAATGAATGTGTTTCATATGACTGATTGTAAAAAGGATCAAAGTTATAATCTTGAGAACGAATGTGTTTTCCTTGATAGATTGTAAGAGGACCCAACAATACCCATTTGTTTTTTAGAGCTCATCTGCCCTTTGGTAACTTGACCAAATCAAGGGTGTGAATCTCATGCAAGAATTGCATCTTGTCTTGCATGACATTCTTTCATTCTTCTTTTTCAATACTTGCTATTGCCTTATAAATATTATAAAATAAATTTATAATTTCATATTTATTTTTAAAGTTTTCTATAAAATATTTGAAATTATTCTACTTAAAATGGACCCCATGCTCTCCCCACGCACCAAAACCCGCAAGTGGGTTTCGCGTGGAAAGCCCACATGCGTAAGTTATCCATTAAGTAATGTTAAGTCTCACACATTGTCTAGTTTTGATGATAACAAATAAGTAAAGTCAGATTATTTAACAATTTATTTCACTTTTTTAAAGGATGTTACAAGACTTAATTTGTGATGAATTATGAAGAAGTGAATCCAACATAATTTGCGTTAAATGGTGAAGATTGAAGTTGAAAGATAAAATTTTAGATTTCATTTAATGGTTGGATGAGATGAATCATGATTATGCCTGGGGCTATATTATCTTAAAGATTTGGAAACTGGGGAAGTAAGATAGAAAAAAATAATTTTGAATATAAATATATTTTTGAAATTAGTTTTTAATTTGAAAAAGAAAAAGTTAATTTGAGATTAAATTTCCTTTTGAAATATTTGATTTGATTATGGAAAGTTAATTTTTAGAAAATTAATTTGAGAACTTTGATTCTATTTTTAAAAAGTAATTTTGGAAAGTTTTCTTAAAGAGAAAATTGTGTATCATTTTAAAGGACGTAAAGTTGTATCATTTTAAGTGAGAGAAAGAGATAGATAAAGGAGGAGAGAGAATGGACAAAAAAATATAAAAATATGGGCCCCACCTCTTTGTGAGAGTGAAAGAATATAAGTTATGTCATTTAAAAGGACAA